CAATCATGCTATCAATTAGGGCTTAAGTCAGTCTTTCCAATGATTAGCAGAGACATCAATATGAATTTTGCGTTCGTGCTTTCTACTGTGCTCCTTTAGTGCCACCTGGCGACTAGTTTGAAAGAAAAAAAAAGTATTTCTCACGTGAAGTAGCTGTGATAATTTAAGCTAAAACATTTGCTTGAGCAAGATTATACCAGGTAACATTTGATTTAGAAGTGCCTCAGTCTTAGCTAGTTTAAGAGGATTTCTTTCAATATCATTTCCAGGCATAAATTAATCCAATACTTAATATCCACAATTGTGTCATAGCTATAAGCATGTTAGGTAAACATTGCACTTTGTTAGAAAACTAGTAATAGCATTAATCACTGTATATAATTTCTGTTTTGCATCTGTTGAGGTCCATGAGTCTTTTGTAAAGAAACAGCTCCTGTAGTAAATCCTTTGTTAATTCTTATTCTTAACAAGCTTATATAAAATCCACAGCAGCTATGAAAAAATCATGTTATTCTAAGCCAAGTGCAGAAAAGAAGGCTGAACCTCTTCTTATTTCAAATCCATGGAAACAAATATTCAGCTACATCAGGCCTGTACCTTAGCATCTACAGGAACAGGTTGGGCTCCACATGGCTTCAAACCTATTTAGATTATTGTGTATAACGTTCCCGTACATCCTCCCCACATACCCGTTTCCCATACCTACTCCCCACAAACCCAGTTCTCTACTGCTCTGTGAATCCTTTTTATATCATTATGAGTGTGATGTGCATGAATCACAATTTTGGTGCCTGAGAAAATAATCCTGCAATAGGAATCATATTGCATTCTTTCCTGTCACTGTCTCTGGAGTGAAAAATACGCTGGCTTTGAGTGCAACTGAAATATGCCACTGAGATGTGAGGCAGATGGACTGAAATGCCTTCAGCATCTAAACGAGTGAAAAAGCACAACTGAACTAAAAATACTTCAAAATTTAAAGATGTCAGTGATTATCCACTTTCATCTCAGGTGTTCTTAATGCGAGGTCAGTATCTCATAATATAAGGTTAATTAGAAAAATAAAGAAAAAATGTCAAGAGAATAAATCATCAGTTCCATTTTATCTTTTCTAATGTGGATAATGGATTTCAATCTTCTATGAGATGTGTGCAATAATACAACTGCATTTATCCAGTTGCAAGATTAAGTCAGATTTAATCTTAGATTATAAGAAAAATATCATCAAGTTATAAAGCTACATGAAGTGATATTTTAGTTCAGGTCATTTCTGCTGCAAAATATTTTAAGCGCATTCATTTTTCCATCATTGTTTCTAAAAACTAGTATAATTATGTCTTACATATGTCCATATTGTAGCACTTTATGGTTTTAAATGCTATAGTAAAGATAGAGACAGCATTTCTGTTTTAATTGTCATTTTTCATTATTTTTGTAATTTTCTCAGAAAACTGTCTTTTGGCCTGTAATTTTCCATGCTCTCTCTCTTTCTAAAAGCTATTATAAGCATATTTGAGTAATCTAGCAAATTCAAACAGTCCTAATTTTGTGGTAATGTAAGCATGAAAAATATTCATTTTGTTCACATTTCAAATGACAGTTTTTACTTTCTATGACATAAGACAGAGAGAAATTTCAAGTATTACTTGCCTGGAAATCCTTGCAGAGAAAGGAGCAAATGCTGAAGTAGTGGTAGCATTCCTGAAGTGCGCTCCAGAACACAGGGCAGTAGGTTGCTGCTTATAGCCTGTGGTTTTTCTCTCACAATACTCAGACACTAATCTACTGGCTGACATCAAACAAATCAGTTCTTTTCTTTGAGATTTCATTGCTGAATCTTAAAAAAAAAAAAAAAATAGCTTTATGTCCTTTGTGAAGTTGAGACCCAATGATCAAAATCACTGTATAATAGCTGCTGTTTATAGATACCGGGGTTTTTTTCTTTGGAATTTATTTTTTCTTTTTTCTGACACATTTCTTTAAAGGTAGAATGGATCACCAGGTATGCCTGCATAGGGATGACTGTGTTATTATCTATATGAATTTAGGATACTTGGGCTTGTCTACATAAAGATACCACAGTAAAGACCATGTCAGCATCAAGTAATCTCTAAGGCTTATTTTAATTACACCTATTTTTATCTTCCACTTTTTTTTCCCCTAGCAAAGAATGAAAACAAGAGAAATTATGTATACAAAATAGTGAGAATGTGTGAATACCAGACATTTGCAATGAAAGTTTACAATGCTGAATTTGGCTTGGATGGCTAATTGCTTGAAGATGATCAAACTGACATAGTCCATATTGTCCCTTTCCATTAGATGAACATTATTCTTTATTAACTTTGCCACATCACTTAAACTTTTGGTTTTTGTGGGCTGGACTACTATAATATGTGATATAAGGGTTTAAAACTTGAATTGATTTAGAAACTGCAGCAGATGCGGACTTTGGAACCCTTCCTGAAAAACAAGAACAAAGCAGGGGCACAGGGTAGGCTTTGCCATGAGTGTGTTAGGTCTATCCTACAATACCCACTCAGAGTAGAAAGCATCAAGGAAAGGTTATGAGTTGGTTTTCCCCAAGAGAATCCTAAATGAGCTGATTTTCTTTTACCAGAGAAAGTTATCTTTATACACTGTGATTTACCTGGACAATTCCCAGTAGCTGAAATATAAGTAGGAATAATAAATAAAATTCAAAGTATATTTTATATATCAAGAATTGGTTGGCAGTCACAGTAGATGGAACTAATTTCTCGAAAATTGTCCTTATTCCAAGTATCTAAAAAGGAGATCACAAAACTGTCTGTCAAGATACCCATCATTTATTAAGGAGGAACTTCTGTTTACTCAATTCACATTTTATAATGAAATTGTGATGATTAGCTGATCCTTAGAACAGCAGATGTTGCTTCTGGCTCCCTATATTCAAAATCAAAATGTTATGATAACTTTAGACTACACAAAAAGGAATTTAACTTAAAATATATTTAAATACAACATGACTTTTTTTAACCTAAAATAAGAAAGAAAAATGAACATTTTTCAAACACATTTGAATAGTCTAGGGGTCTAGATCACATTTCAAAAGGTGATAATAGAAGATGCCATTCAATTATCTCAGTCTTTTAAAAAATTTTAAAACATTGTTGTTCCTGGTTCAAAAATAGGAAAAGTGTTGCATACTTACAAAGGAGAAATAATTTAGCACATTTCAACACCATGCAGCAGAGCACAGTGAAAAGTCAATGAGTATTGACTGAATTAGCTCTGGAACCAGAAGCAATATAACCATTGGAAGGTAGGATTTATTAATATGGGTGCATCACCTGCTGATATAGATATACTGCCTATGAGACTTGTGTTAGTAGATGCACTGTTTTTTTGCTGCTCACTCAGAAATCACTGCACTGCAGTGAATGTTATAAATATTTATTAGGGGCCTAATACTATATCCATTTATGTCAATAGAATGTTCCCAGTAACTTCAGAGGTGAAAACTGAGACTCTAAATTTCATACTGAATCTACAGACAGGAGGATAAGACAGTAAGACTGTAGACACCAGAGTAGAAAAGCAAAGCTCAAGGCATAACATGGGATAAATCATACCATGGCAGCTGCACACAACCAGGTGGTATATGAAAAGGTAGGCATTTGAGAGCATGGTAGGTCTCGATGTGGTTCATCCAGGAGTAAATTTGTCCTTGGCAGTGCTGAGGTCATTTCTAAGATTAGTAATATATGCTTCTAGTGTTCAGGACATAATAGGCTTTAAAATATGCTAACTCTTTCATATGCCTATGGCCTAACATAAAAATTCATCTACCCCAACACAAAATAGTTCATGGAATTCCTGTCATTGTCCTTTAGCATTTGTTTGGCTAAAAAATGGAAAATTTGGCAGTCCATATAAATGTATAAATTTTTTTCTCAGAATCTTCTGTAAAGTCTGTTGTGTAACATTTGCGAAATATTACACAAAAATGTAACATTGTTCTTATTAAAGGCCTTACTCTGGGAACATAATTATATGGATTTGACTGAGCAGAGTTTCATGTGCAGAGTGCATGTAGTCAGTAAAACTTAACATGCTTCCCAAAAGAAGGCCCATCACATTCTCTTTTAAAGCATGTGAAAATTGAAACTGAGGCAAAGTGGAATTGGGAAGCACTTCTACAGAAATAGCTGAGCTCAGTTTTAAAGAATCTATCGACTACTATTTTTCTATTCTGCCATTGCTGCGATAATGTTTATGCAAATTTCCCTTCTAAATACAAAACCAGTATATCTGAAAATCATCTTGTTGGATTGACTTTTTATTGCTGATAACATTAATAGCATTTCATCAGATCTCATCATAGAAAGAACCTGAAGAATTCTCAGTGTTTTATTGAATGTTTGCTAGTATTTACTTTACAAATTCCCTTAACCTTGTATTCTTCTTTATCTCTGAAGCTCCATACCAGAGTTTACATTAACAGCACACTTCCCAAATAGCGATAACTATATCACAGCGTAATCTTGCTGCTCAGAGGTATGCAGCCTTTCATTTCTTATTCCATTTCTGTTTCCCCTGTAGGGCAGGAAAAGGAAATTTCCACCTAGGGACCTCAGCATCATTCAACATTGATGTTACTTGTCCAACAATCCTCTATACTAGGGGGACCATATGTCAGCCACAGTTAGCACTCACAATTTATCAATACCCATTTATGCATGTAAAGATCTCTTTCTTCTTTGTCTCTGTATACATTTCAAACACTAGAGTCAAGAATAGTAGGAAAGCAAATAGAAGAGGGACATTAGTAGAAGAAACTTCCATCTTTTGTCTCCTGGGTAGTCCAAGTAGTCATGAAACTGGAATTATTAGCTTCCAAAGATTGTCATCCTTTTTGGAGACAGAAGCATCTTTTTCACCTTGCCTTTGCTGTGTGAGGTTTGAATACTCTGCTGTCAACAGCATAAACAGTAATGAGATCTTCTGTTTCCTTCTAGCTATATGTTGCCTGTGAGCAGTCCTAAAGGTTACTGTATGATTGAAATGGCTGCAGATGGAAATCCTCCTGTACAACACAGACTTTCTCTCTCATATCGAGCATCTCAGGTGAGTCTGCAAAGCATCAAAAAATAGCTATTTGCTTTGAAGGTTTCATCAGCATATGCACTTTAGTTATTCGCAAAGGAGAATAAGCATTCTAATTATTTCTAAAGGAGGAAATGTACTTTCTCCTCAGATATCATTATATGTACTTAATTTTTCTTTAATATGTCTTTTCACATCAAACATCCATAGTATTTCCATTAATTTCTTCAGTTTACCTGACTGAAACTTCTATTTCAACTGCCTAAAGTCCGTGAAAAGGACACTGATGCTGCAAGAGGAAAAACGATATGTTAGCAATGTCATTCAACTAGGCCACGGTGTTATTAGAAACAATTCAGATGTTGTTAAGCAGCAATTCTGGTTACTTTCTATTTGCAAACCACACTGTCTAATGGAGGGCAGTTATGAATCATCAGTGGCTTAACCTGGTGTCAGTATTGTTGCTAAGACTTCACTTCTGAATAGTATTGTAAAAATTACTGTCTCCATTTTGAAATTGGTATCAGAAGACTCATTCTAAATGGGCAAGCTTTAGAAAGCCAGCTTTCCCAAATCTTGAGTTTTTCTGTTATTCTTTGCCTCCACGTTATCACCTCTCTTTGTTATGCATTCTCTCATCACAAGATTATTTATGCATGATACATTTTAAATGATTTTAGACTTGAGATTTTGAACTGTGATTGACAGCTCACTTTATAAGTTTGTTCACTGGAAGGCAGGACAGTTAGCTGTAGAGATGTTAATCATGATGTGCATATCACAGTATGCACTGCCAGTTAGTAATAGAATTCATTCCCTGTTTCTTCCCCGAGGCAGTATCTAGGTGTTTGTTCAGTCCGATATAAAGAATTAACTTGTATTACATATTGCTATTAGCCCAATCAGTTGTCTGTTCATAGCTTCCAGATGATCAACCTGATGTTCTGCTGCAGAAGGTTCCTTCGTCTCTCCCTCTATGTCTCAGTTTCATAACTCTGACAGAATGTAAGGCTAACACTATTGGCAGCTTCTGCATAGAGAATCTGGGGAAAGAACTTTGGTTTGGAAAGAAATTTGGAAAGAAAATTCTTTGGTTCCTAAGAAAGTCCTCTGTTTCTTTTTTGGGGGGTCCACGGTTAGTTTCAGTTCGTATCACGAGTGGATTTTTGAAGTGAATGTTCTGGTCATCTCCACTTACCACGCTTTGGTTCATGTTGCAGAGCAATCCTGGAGCATGCCAGCTGAATTCTTTTAAGATAAAACAGTACAAAAGATGCTCTCTATGAGTGCACTTAATGTGCTGAAACCACTAATGGGTATATCATGGCACCAAATTATACTTAATCCAGAATAACCCCTTGTATGGTATGTAGTATGAATGTCATAACCTCATGACTAACTATTACACTTTACAGATCTGCTCCTAGTCTCCCAGAGCCCCTATTCTCTTTACAAAGTACACAAGCAAAGAAAGCAAAAAAGAAATTTCTTATTTCTAGGAGGACTAATGAAATTCTTCCTGTTACTGGCCAAGCTAATCCTTCCTATGACTCAGGCTCCAAGTGAAGAAGAACATTTTCAAATTAGTGTTTGAAAAATTAAGCATGAGTATTACAGAAGTTAACATAATGTTAATATGAAGTTTTATTAAGCCTGTTATGTTATTAACAAGACTTACAGGAATTCTTCCTGTGTGCTTCCTTAAAATATATTCTGGTTAAGTCAGTTAAATTCAGAACAGGACCTTTATAGAAAGAAATGTTTATTATGGGGTACTAGCATGAGTTTGAACATCTAACACATTATGATAAAATCCATTGATGTGAGAAACTGAGCAGAGCCTACTGAAGTTGTTCTGTGGTACACTGGATCTGCCCCCAAGGCCAGTGCTTTTGTAAAATAAGCCAAATAATAAAAAGATTGTGTTAAAAACACTTTTCTTAATCATAGACACTTTACATTCCAGTCCGATGCTTTGCTTATTTCTTGTAACAGGTTCACAAGCAGGGAGAAAATGTCTGTCTGCAAACACTACTTACAAATCTTGTCCGTACCTACGCTGGTTTATAGCTTTGTTTGAAAGGGGATAAAGTCAAGTGATATGAAATGAATTTGACAAGTGCTGAGCTGATGTCTTTAAATTCCTTCCACATGAAAAATCTGACTTAATTTTATCCATGCTCTAAAAGAAGTAGAATTTTTTTTTCTTTCCCTTCTAAATGAAAGACATTTTAAGTAGAGGAATAACTGGAGGTATTTATGTTAGTTGTATCTCCAACTTTCACTTGCAATTGTCAGCAACAGATCTCCAGGACTGATAAGAGCAAGACAGGAAACAGCAAAGCAAAATCATACAGATGTGTGAATTCCAGATAAGTCAATGTCATGTTTTCCTCCTGTTCCTAGTTCTTTACAGTTGATGTCTGAATATGATAGTGAAGGGCCCCTTCACTATAAATTATCTCCTCACATAAATTATCTCTTTGTTTTACACATGCTGTGATATGTTTTTTATTGCATTGGTTTATTCCCACTTGACTTGAATTGGCTAGGTTTCACCCACTTTCTGGATTGATGGTATCGTACAAATAAATGCATCACAGTGTGATACACTTAAGAAAAATTTATCATTTTTTCAATTCTTAGTGACAGGCATTTAGCAAAGGAACATAGGAATGGTGAAATCCCAGGTCAGAACTCCAGAAAGCCATCAGCTTGAGGAGTGGAATTCAAGGTGCTAAATGAGTCACAGATCCTTTATATGTGATGGTCAAGGGTTTGACTCCTAGGTCAGGTAGCACAGGAAATACCATACTAAGCACTAATATAATTTAGTCAGTCCCAGTACAAAATAGTTGTGGGTTTTTCTTTGGCACCTTTATAAGGAAGTTCTAGGCATTTGGGGCTCTAGAATTTACTACCTAAAACTTTCCCTTTTCCCCTGGGCTTCAGTATAGTGGTCTGTTTTCTGTCACTCATCCAAAAAAGTAAAATCTTGTTTCTGTATTCCCCTTACCTTGGGGTCCAGTAGGTCCCAGATCCTAAAGAAAAGCTTTCTTTTCAAGTCTACACGTTATCCTGTGTTCCTGCACCAACCCTCAACCATGAATGTAAAACTCATAACATAGAAAACCTCACCGTGATCATTGTGGTTAGGGCCGGGAATTCCAATTTGTGTTTCATGGGATGTATATTGTCTTACATATTTGAAGATATGCAAACACATTAAACCACTCTCTTTGTAGGATTTTATTTTTTTTTTAAAGAGAACCACATTTTTAAAAAGTATCCCTTCAGCAAGTATCATAGTTTTTGGCCAGCTTCAAGTAATGGCTATTTCCTTTATTTCTAATTATTATTCATTCATTGCTTACAGTAACATCACAAATCGCATTCTTGTCTGATGATTCTCTTCTTGTTTCTGCAGATCACCTTTGGATCAATCTTCCTTGGAAATGTTCCTGTTCATGAAGAGGTTCATCGATGTGCTGGGCAGATACATGGCTATAAAGGATGCGTTAGGGATTTTCAAGTTAACAACAAAGAGTTGTTCATCATAGATGAGGCTCTTGGAGGAAGGAATGTTGAGAACTGCAATGTTCCGATATGTGATTATCACCCATGTCGCAATGGTGGGACCTGCACTAGGTAAGAGTTACCTCTTTAATCATTTTATCATCTATTTACATTCTGTGGCTGGCACATTCATCCTTAATGAGAAATTACTATAATTTTCTGTATAATGAAGTAATCACCAATCTTTTGTCCTGATAATAATAGAAAATGTGACATTTTCATGCCTAACCAGAGAGATTTTATACCTTATTTGCTTACATGAAAAGAGATATAAAATGTAATTACATTGCCCACACTGCATACATATTGGGTTGCTGCCAGAATTCCTTTGCGATCAACTAGATCAGTTCCCCCCCCTACAAGGCTCGGTGACTAAATTAGACTCTTTGTGTAGATAGTTTGGACAGAAACACATAAGGTCTCATTCTTCTAACAACTCTTTATCTTACTAGGCCTTCTACCCTCACCCATCTTCATGGTGTGCTCCTGGGTACACGGCAGAGGCCTTCATCTTCATGCTATGAAAACAGTAACAAGTCGGTCAGCACCTTCAGCATGTGTGAAGAAGTATTGTTAGAGAACTTTGAAAGTTAAAGTGCATCATGCTGAAAGAGGAAATGGGGTTCAAAAGAGACATGGGCTAAAAGCACAGAGGATAATGGTTCAGTTGAATGATGGTTCAATTGGAGCACAGTAACTGTTTAAGACATAGTAACTTGATCATTGTCTAAGCCACTCAACATTTAGGAACCACATTTCTGTTTAAAATTGATAGAACTTGTGAAGTAGCTGCCATGTCTATTTTAAAAACTGTACTCCAGCTTCAAGGCAAATGCTGAACAGAACATAGTCTAAAGTTCTTTTAAACCTCTGGACCACTGTGTGTTTCTTAGGTTGAGGAGACCTTGAATCAAAGTTTTGAGGTGTTTCTCTGCCTCTCTTGATTGATGTGAGCACACAAAGAACGTCAAACAGGTTTTTGATCTCTTAAGCCTTGTTTAAACAGAGCACAAATGAAAACAAGGCAACTTTACAAAAACATACACAATTTGCCTAGCAGACTGGTGAAACTGAGTGTGTACTTGGGAGTAATGAGTCTATTTTTCCTCTGTTGTTCCTTGCTATATCTCTGTCATTCTACTGATTGGCCTGTCATCTACCACTATGGAATACTGTTTCATTTAAAGCTTGGGTCCTAAATAATTCATGACCATTGGATTTGTTTCCTGACGTTCTGCTTTCCAGCTACTGGCCTCAGCCCTTTTCAGAAATGCTTTTGTTCTGAAATGAGCCACTGTTCTTCTGTCCAGAGGAGTCATGGAAGACTGTGCATATGCAAACTAGGGATAAGCAGCTCTACAGAAGCATAGTTTTCATGATTTTCTACAGCAGTCAACTGATTTTCAGGGATCACCTCCAAGCCCAAGAATGATCCATTCCATAATGAGTGGGAAATCAAGTGGCAGGAAGCCTGCATGGATGAACAAGATGCTCCTGACAAAACTCAAACATAAAAAGGAAGCATACAGGAGGTAGAAGCATGGCCAGGTGACCTGGGAGGAATATAGAGAAAATGTCCACATATGCAGATATGGGGTTAGGAAAGCCAAAGTCCATCTGGAGATTAATCTGGCAGGGGACATGCAGGGCAAAAAAAAATGCTTCTACAAGTATATCAGCAGCAAAAAGACAACTTGGGAAAATGTGGGCTTGCTGCTGAATGGGGCAGGTGTGCTGGTGACAAAGGATCCAGAAAAGACTGAAATACTCAGTGCCTTCTTTGCCTCAGTCTTTATTGACTGACCTTCAGGAATCCTATTCCTCTCAGACCTGTGGGAGAAAGTCTGGAGCAAGGAAGACTTACCCTTGGTGGAGGAGGATCGGATTAGGGAAACTAATTTAAACCATCTGGCCACATATAAGTCCATGGGACCTGATGGGATTCACACGAGTGCTGAAGGAGCTACCTGATGTCATAGCAAGATTAATCCTGATAATCTTTGAAAGACTGAGGTGACTGGGAGAGGTTCCTGAGGGCTAGAAGACTACCTTCAGGAAGGGCAAGAAGGAGGATCTGAGGAACTACAGGATGGTTAGCCTCACCGTGATCTGTGGGAAGTTGATGGAGCAAATTGTCCTGGAAACTCTTTCCAAACACATGAAGGACAAGAAAGTGGTTGGGAGTGGCCACCATGGATTTATGAAGGGAAAACTGTGCTTAACCAACCTGATAGTCTTCCACAATGAGATGACTGGCTTGATGGATGAGGGGAGAGCGCTGGATGTTGTTTACTTGACTTTAGTAAGGCTTCAACACTGCCTCCCATCACATCTTTAGTGACAAACTGATTAAGTATTGGCTAGGTAAGTGCACAGTGAGGTGAACTGAAAACTGGCTGAAGAGCAGGCTCAAAAAGCACAAAGGATCAGTGACACAAATTCCAGATGGGGGCTGCTCACTAGCAGAGTACCCCAAGTCTCAATACTGGATCAAATACCGTTTATCTTCATTAATGACCTATAAGATGGGACAAGGTGCACCCCAGAAACAAGGGTTAAATATGAAGCAAGGAGGAGTGATTAATGCACCAGATGGGCCTGCTGCCATTCAGAGGGACCTCGACAGGCTGGAGAAATGAGCCAACAGGAGTCTCATATTGTTAAACAAAGGGAAATGCAAAGTCTTGCACTGGTGGAATAACCCCAGGCACCAGTATGGACTGGGGACTGACTGACTGGAAAGCAGCTTTGCAGAAAAAGACTTGCCAGTTCTGGTGGACAACCAGTTGACCATAAGTCAGCAGTGAGCCCTAGTGATAGAGAAAGCCAGCAGCATCCTGAGCTGCATTAGAAAGAGAGAATGGGTCAAGGGAGGTCATTCTTTCCCTCTCTTCTCACCTGGTTTGCTGGTTTTCGTATGTATGTACATACATTCTTCAGTCAGTTCACAAACTGTCCATATTCAGTAAGCTTCACCTTGCTAGGAAGATCTAGATACCATGTTTCACATCCAAGTTCTGCAGTTCTGATTTCATACTGTTCACTTGGCAGAATAGAATTTGCTTTTTCAGAGGCTGATCATTCCTCTTAGCTGTCAAGACTGCCAACAAAAACTATCACAACAGATTATCTCTCAGGATTTGGAGGTCTCACTTTGATAGGTTACTAGGTAGTTGTCTTTAGAGGAGCTATTCCTGCATCCCAAAGTCCTGAAGCTTCATTTTGTCCACAGTGTGTGCAACATTCTCTTTACTGGAGACTTAAACATATATGTGGGAACAGACTGCTCCATCACTGTATAACATGTAATCAACCAAATCACTTTTGCTTTTCTGAGAAGTGTGATGTATCTAAAAGATTCTTGTCTTTATAAGTCATCTACCTATCTGCACCAATTTCTTTGTAGAGGATGTAAATAGGGTGGCAAGTTGGGATATAAATTTGCCTGTGCTAGCAGCCATTTTTCAGGAGTACTGGTAGGCGTTTTACAGACACTGCCTGACAGAATGCCAGCATTCCCCTTGGGGAATGCTTCAGTTTGCTGTATACCAATTCCATTTTCCACAGGTTTGAGCAGATTGAGGAGATATGGGAAAACAATGACTGGTATACCTCCTGATCAGCCTTGGCAGGTCTGGCTCCAGAACCTCTTTCATCTGGACCTGAACACTCCACAAAGTTTGTTCCTCTGAATCTGTTGTCTTAAGACCCAAGTCCAGTGCTTCAGTGGGTGAAGCATCTCCTGAAAGGAATGATGAGAGGTTCTGTGCTATAGACTCTTCCTGTACTTCTTTCCAGGCAGTGTCTGCTAATACTAGGAATCTATTTAGTAAATGTGCATACTGTAACAAACTCTATTCAGTTAATAGACTAATTTTAAGTGTGTTGGGCTTGTTGTCACCTTCTTTCTTCAGTGCTTTGGTTACAAACATCCTTTGGTACCTCTTGTAGCTGAAAGACGCGGGTTTCTCCCCTCACTCCTCTTTAATTTATTAGTCGCTTTATCCTAGCAACTATTTGATTAATTACTTGGTCATCAATCTGTCACATCAACTTGGTTCACACCATGTCATGTGTGGAGCAGGAGAATTGAAAAGCCAGAGGTGGACATTTTGTGTATAGTTTATGGGGAAAAATTTCCAGGCTTCAGTCCCAGTGTTCAAGTGGTGCATGTGGACTCTACAACAGTGTTATCTTCAGATAATGAGTTTATATTCATGAGAATGGAGCCAATGAGAGCCATAAATAATCTATAATGTTAAAAATATTCCCAGCTACACCATTAATTGTCCATTTGTGTATTTATTACTGTAAAAACACTTAGTTGTATTTAAAAAAAATTTCAGATGAAACAAGCAATAATTTGATGATTCATGTAAAACTATTATTGACTTGTTTAAGATTTTTGCCGGTTGTTTCAATTACACTGTTTAGTGGCAAAAAAAAAGATTTTTCATTGCATGTTATTCTTCAGGTGCTTGGCAACAAATTAGAGCTTTTGCTTCTGAAAGGCCATGAAGTATTACATAGAAAATATCTCAGCCATGTTTTATAATAAACACTGGAGCTTGTCAACACATGCTGCTGGGCATAGACAGGTGTGTTGCATAAGAAACATTTTTTACAGTTCTTAAAAGAAAGTTACTTGCCTTTCCTCATCACCAGAGTACAAAAATACTATTGTAGTGTTCATCCTATTAATTAGAATAATTATACAGAAGAAATGTATTTGACAGGAAAAATATTTTCTTTGTATTTTTGATAGCAAGAGACAGGGATTAGTATGGGCCTAGCTTTCAGATACAAAATTTCAGGATGCAGCAGGGGCCAGCAGCTCCCTGTGGTCTGGTCACTGGTTGCATCAGGTGCTCCCCAGGGGCCTGGCAGGGCAGGGCCTGGCAGCCAGTGCCTGTCCCACTGCCCCAGCCAGGAGCAGGGCAGCCAGAGCACACCAGGGCAGCCCCAGCCCTGGGCATCAGGCACATGCCTGGGGATAGCCATGGGCTGAGGCTGGGCTGGGACATTGGTCCACTGGCGGGGAATCAGGATCAAGCCCAGTGACGGGAACCAGGGTCAGACACAGCCCCGAGATGGCCAGGCAGGTCCGTGGTGATGGGGACAGGCTGCACAATCACCATTTTGCTATGAAACTACTGAATGCATCATATTGTGGAATTGGAAATCTCTAGTTATCTTCATTCTTTTTAAGTTAAGATCTGCTCCACTTTCATTAAAAAAAAAAAAGTGTTATCTAGTTTCCATTTATATTTTGATTAAAAAATCTGTCTGTGTATAGGTGTCGTGTTTTAACCCCAGCTGGCAACTGAGAACCACACAGCCATTCGCTTGCTCCCTTCTGGCAGGATGGGGGAAGAATTGGAAGGGTAAAAGTGAGAAAACTCGTGGGTTGAGACAAAGACAGTTTAATAGGTAAAGCAAAAGCCATGTGTGCAAGCAAAGCAAAATAAGGAATTCATTCACTAGTTCCCATCAGCAGGCAGGTGTTCAGCCATCTCCAGGGAAGCAGGGCTCCATCACATGTAACAGTTACTTGGGAAGACAAACACCATCACTCCGAACGTCCCCCCCTTCCT